CGTGTGGCCCAAAACCAGGGGCCCCTTGAACCGTTACGTGGTGCGGCCATGTGAAAAAGGTGAAGAGTCACCTGTGCGCTTAGCCGAAGAGTCGGCTTGGGAACTTGGTTGAGAAGGAGGCTGGAACTGGTGTTTTGCTCCCTCAAGGGGAATCATTCATAACATTAATTCTTGGTCGCATCTACAATTTGGGAACCTATCTTTTTGGATTGCAGTCGCTGCCGGCTACCTGCATTGGTAGCGGAGCGACGGTGTTCGCTCCAGAGCCGTTTGCTCCCCTGCGTAGCTCCGTGGTGGTCATGTCTTCGCAACAAGCGAAAAGTGATGCTGCGATTCCTTCCTGGGATGGTTCCAATAGAACATGGAGGAGATACTGTAAGGAAGTGGGTTGGTTTGTTGGTTCGACAAAAGCCTCGCAAAGACGCTATACAGCTAGCAAACTGATTAGCCGTTTGACTGGAAGTGCACGACTGTTAGCGATGTCATGGTCCCAAAGGGAATTTGATGGCGAGCAAGGTGTGACACTTTTATTGAGGAGATTAGCTTCCTCTTCACTGGTCAGAAGGCCCCTTCCTAATGCTGCTGCAATCATGAATGAGTATTTTGGATTTAGAAAGCGCCCCAATGAAACCATTGGTCAATTTTTGGTCAGGGAAACCCTTGGCTTCGAGGAATTCCAAGAAGCCCTTCTGCAGCTCAAGGATGAGCGTGATGGCATAGACCCTGCAGAGCGTATCTTTGACCTGCCGGAGTTGACTGGCTCCTTGGATGAGGATGACAATTGGCGACATTGGCAACATCGCGATGATTGGCGTGGATGGCAGCGCTGGTCGGATCGTGGTTCTGAGCCTGATGGCGAAGCCGCTGAACATCGTCCTGATGCGGCTGAGTATGAGCAAGTGCCGCAATCTGAGACGAAATCTGATCCTGGGCGTCGCAGTGCTCCAGCTGATCCCGATCCGTCCCCTGCCAGGAGTGTCCATCATACTGCATCTATTTCACCAAAGAAGTCTGTCAAGCCGGAACCATTGAGTCCTATGGATACCTTCATTCTCGATGTTTTGAGGGGATGGCGGTTGTTGGTAGCTGCTTCGTTATCTTCTGATGAATGGCGTGATGTCTTAGCTACAACCAACAACAAACTGGACTATTTGAGTGTGTCTGATGCTTTGCAAACCTTATGGGATGAACAGATGGGTGCAGGTAAGTGGACGTCTACGGCCTTTCCATCTCATCATCAACATTTCTGGACTGAGGGTTCCTATGATGATGACTGGAACTATGACAATTATCAGGCTTGGCAAGGCGATTGGCCCTCTGATGACTGGAATTCTGGATACTGGGATGATTGGGAAGCTCAGGCTCACCATGCTGATGAGTCTCCTGCCTTGGATGAAGAACCGGATGATGCCATGAAAGATGCTCTTGAAGCTGAGCGTGCAGCCGAAGTCCTTGCGATGGAGGCCCGGCGAACATGGTCGCAAGCGCAGCAAGCCACTGCCAATCTGCGCCGTGACCGTGGTTTTGGCAAATCTGGTAGCTCATCATCTGGTAAAGGTAGTGGATGTTTCATTTGTGGTGGACCCCATCTCCAGAAAGATTGCCCTGACAGAGGTCATCCGTCCTTGCGCAAGGGCTCTGGCAAGCATCTGTCTCAGGCTGAACTCGACGCCTTTTTGACCAACAGGACAAAAGGGGGAAAAGGGTTCAAAGGGAAATTCAAAGATGGTATGGCCAATGTGGCATATGGTTCTTGGCCGTATGATGGTTTTGCAATGTCAAAAGGTAAAGGGAAACAAAAGGGTAAGTCAAAGCCTTCGGTAAACATGTATGGCATGGACTTCAATATGGACTATTACCCTATGGAAATGATGGAGACGATTCAAAACCCTTCAACTGGTCCTCGAACGGTTGTTCCACTGGGATATGGAATGTTGGATTGCGGTGCCACTGCTTCTGCTGGTCCTGAAGCTTCAGCAAAGAAGCTCATTTCCCATTTGCGTGCCTTTGATGCTTCACTACTGGTTGAGCTAAACTATGAGCGGCGACCATTCTTTCGCTATGGGTCTGGGAAATGGGGTCAAGCACTATATCATGCTGTGGTCACATCATCAACTTCACCATATCGCAGTTTTGAGATGTACGTCTTGGAGAACCCCCCTGAATTTTATGAGTCATGGTATACTGAGGATATGTTGGTCCCTATTCTGGTTGGCATGGATCATTTACGCAAAACTGGTTTGATCTTAGATTTTTGTGATGGTCATGCAGTTCATGGTAACGATCCTCAACCGGTACCCTACAAGATGGAACAGAACTTCAAGGGTCACTTCATGGTGAACATTGTCAACTACATGTTTGGCAACACGGCTGACTCTGAGGCTGCGATGTTGCAGCAGCTCACAGCAGAGTCTTTTGCCGAGGTGCCTGGGGATTCCGAGTGGCCTTGGTTTGAACTAGCGATGCACCAACAACATGGGTCTTTTGCAGTTTTTTCTGGAAACCATGGTATCAAAGATGATGACAGTAGGAGAACTCTTTTTGACTCATTTGTGCACCGTCGTTTGGCCATTCAACAAGCTGCGCCATTCTCAGCAGCACCTGGTCCTCAAGACCCTCAAGGTTCTGACATCACCTCGTCTGTGACTCATGGCGACCAAGTCCAAGGCGGCTGCGCCCTTGGATCACCCTCGCGAACGGGGACCAGATCCGGAAGATCCCCGATGCTCACCAAAGTGCTGGCCTTGTTTCAACAAGCACGGGAGCTTCGAGACCGGATCCAACAACCACGGCCTGTGGAAGCACTGCGGAATTTGCGGGCTTCGGACTTCATATGTTCCCCGAGTGAGCAGCCTGGGCAAGAATGTGCAGAAGCTCGACATGAAGCTGGTGACCAATGTGATGAACCAGCTGGAGATGGATCTTCGTCCTCAGGGCAAATTGCCCAACCGTGCTCTCTTCGAACTGCTGCTGGAATTGATGGAGACGGGTCAAAAGATCTCAGGTCTCAAATATCAGCTGATGCATCTGGAAGAGCAGGCGATGGCCCTCGAACATCGCTACCAGAAAACCTTGAAGATGGATCCAAGCGCCTCATCCACCAAGGACATGCTGGTCAAGACGGAGGAGACCGAGCTCATGGGCTACCTCACCGAAGAGGAGAAAGCCAAGATCCTGTCAGTGGTGGAAGAGCGCAAGAACAAGGAAGCAGCTCAGATCGACGATCCGGATGCCGAGTTTGTGACCCCTCAGAGGGGAACCATGCCATGATGGCCAGTGGCAACGGTGAGGACTATCTCAACTTCACCTTGGACGCTCCTGAGAATGTCCAGGGTGTCACTTTTGATGTGGAGTTAGAGACTGAGTCCATGCATGATAATGATGTTTTCACTGCAGCGCCCTCCTTTGAAGATATGCAGGCCGCAGCAGTTGAGATCGAATGCATGATGTGTTTCAACTCTATGCAGTCCGAGGACAAGTCCAACAAACAGAAAAATCTCAAAAACAAAAAGAAAAAGAATTTGAAAAAGTTCCATGCAAGTTTGATTGAACAATCAAGTACAGATGGCAAGACAGTGCCACAACGTTTGCACAACGACTCCAAGAAGGCCCACTCTGGTAGCTTCAAGGAATCTCAATTTGCTTTGCCCTGGAAGATTCTGAAAGCTGCTATGACCCTTCTTACAATGTTGACTTTGACAGCACAGACCCAGCTCAGAGATTTTCTCCATGGTGAACATGTTGATGGCTGGGAGTTCTTTTGCGCTCCAGAAAGCTGGCTCACTTCAGCTTGTCGTTCCGAAGGTTTGAGAATGTCTAGGATCAATTTGCAACAAGGTTTCGATTTGTATCGGAAGGATACCTATGACATGCTGCGAGAGAAGTATCAAAAAGAAAAACCAAAACGTTTGTGGGTGTCAACCAGATGTACCTATTGGTGTCCATTCACTTCCTTGAACTATCGCACTGAAGAGGAGAAATCACGCTTAGCCCAACATCGAAGACGTGAACGAGCCATGTTTCGATTATTGATTCCCTTTTTACTGGAAGTTTTGGAACAAGATGACAATGTGGAATTATTTTGGGAGTGGCCAACACGTTGTTATGGTTGGGAGGATGCAGAATTTCTTCGGTTGGTGCGTGGTCTTCAACGTTTGGGCAGGGATTGGAACTATGGCAGAGTAGATGGTTGTAGATACGGTCTCAAGTCTGCTCAAGGGAAGTTTCTACGAAAATCCTGGTCTATAGGTACAACATCACAACGTTTTTATTCCACGTATAAATCGAAAACATGCACTGGATGTCATGATCACGATAGAGTACAAGGGGTAGAGACTTCAAGATCGGCTTATTATCCATGGAACCTTTGCAAATCTGTTGCACAGTTGTGGAGATCCGAGCTGTATCCCGAAAAATGGCTTCATTATTTACATGCCCCTGTACCTCTAGATGATCCTCCAGAAGATGCTCTTCACTCCTTGGGTCTTTTTGAATTCATGCCTGTGGAAGGCGAAGAACCTAGTGAACAAGAACGATCACGATGGAATGTGCAATTGCTGAAATATCATCGCGCTGCTGGGCACCCCAACAACTATAACCTGGCTAGAATCTTGCGTGATGCTGGGCGTCCAAAGTGGCAAGTGCAAGCCGCCTATGATCTTCGATGTGAAGATTGTGCTGCTCTGAAGTTGGGTGGTGAGAGTAGTGGAAAAATTCCTCCAGCCTCAATGCGACCACTTCCGGCCGCCTGGGAAGTTGTTGGTTTGGATGTTAGCGAATGGCATCCACCTGGTTCTAAAGAAAAGCACAAGATTGTTGTTTTCATGGACCTAGCCACCAAGTTCAAATGCACATCCATTTTGAAATCCTATGATGCTTCAAAGATGGAATCCGAGAACTCTGAGATGTTGTTGCAAGCTTTTACACAGCTTTGGCTTCAGGACAAACCAAAACCGAAAGTTCTGGTGCCTGACAGCTCATCAACTATGATTTCTCAAAAGATGAAAGACACTCTCTCCAACTTGAACATTTTGGTTGAACCACCGGCTGCCAAGGAGAGTTGGGCCCACGGACTTGTAGAACGTGCTATACAAGAAGTCAAGGATGTGGCCTCGAAAATTTTCCTCTCCAACAAAGATTTGTCGCCACAGATTGTGTTTTCTTTGGCAACCTATGCCCTGAACTCAACAGAATTTGTACAGGGATTTACTCCTGTGCAGTGGGTCTATGGTCGTCAAGAAACTCTGACTGAAGAAGATGAGCGTAGTTTGCAACATGCCAATGCTGAGAGTCCACAGCGTGACTTCACAAGTCTTCTTCAACGGCGTCAATTTGCCGAGGATGTTGCCCGAAAGGTCAAGGCTCAGCGCACTCTGACCAAACTCAACAACTCGAAGGTGCGACAGCCACTTCAAGTTTTTCATCCTATGGATTTGGTGAAGATTTGGCGAAAACAGGGCTTAGACAAAGGTCCACGGGGAGGTATGAAAAAGGCAAGCCGCTCTCAATGGCTTGGTCCTGGTCGTGTAGTTTTTCATGAAATTTTGCATGATCAGTATGCCGAAGATTCTCGTCGTCATATCGTGTGGGTGATTGTTGCAGGTACCATGCATCGCTGTAGTGTTCACAGTGTTAGGCGTGTTACAACACAGGAAAAACTGGAATATGAACTTCACAGTCCTGAAAAATCTGACACTTGGAAAAGTTTGAGCGACATGTTACCCAAGAGATCTTTCATTGACATGGCTGACGATGAACCTGGTGATGATGAAGAAGAAAGACCTTTCCTTCCCGATGAACCTGATCCTAGCACTCAGTTGCCACGTTTTCGGCACAGTTTCAAAAGTCCTCCAGATCTAGGTGATACTGCAGTGGAAATTCCATCAAATTTGAGGTATGTGAAAGTTCACTCAACCGTTCCTTCAGTTCTTGATGCTGAACCTTTGCCAGCCAACGATTATTCTCCATCTTTTGCAAGCTCTCCTGATCCTCTGGATGAAGTTGGTAATGATCGTGGTAGTGGTCTTGGTAGTGGTATTCCTTCTGGTGAGGCGAAGTCTTCTAGCTCTCGCCATGCGCTTTTGGATGATGGCGCCACCACTGAGCCTGAGAGTAAGAAGCCTCGCACGGATGCTGGTTCAGTAACTTTGCTAGATGGTTCCTTTGACATGCACCTCTTAGACATGATTGAAGAGCTCTATGTTTTGGAAGTTGAAATCGATGTTTCATCGTCACATCAAGTGCAGAAGTTTGTTGATCACCCCAGTTTATATTTAGCACAAAAACTCAGAGATTGCGAAGTACGTTTGGAAAAACTTCGTCCTGAACATCGTGAATTGTTCAAACGTGCTAAGTTGAAAGAAGTCAACTCCTTTCTGCAAAATCAGGCGGTGCGTCGTTGTGAAAATGCACTAGAAGAGCAAGAAGCTCGTTCCAGTGGTAGACTCATGAGGTGCAGGTGGGTGCTGACTTGGAAGCACACACCAGCAGAATCTCTACAGGAATCCCAACAAGAACTTCGAGAAAAACCAGAGAGCACCACTTTGACCAAAGATGCCTCGAAGAAAGCTAAGGCGAGGATTGTGTTGCTCGGTTTTGAGCACCCTGATTTGTTGTCTGAGGATTACAAAACAGCCTCTCCTGTTCAATCGGTTCTCACGCGAAATTTGAGCTATCAATTGGTCATGCAGAATGATTGGGATATAGAAGGAATAGATATGAGCACTGCTTTTCTTCAAACATTGCCTTCTGAAGAAGCCAAGCGTTTGTGGACAACTGGAGTCAGTGAACTTAGACAAGCTTTGAACATTCCTGAAAACGGTGTCATGCGAATTCTCAAAGATTTCTACGGTTCAACAACAGCACCTCGTAACCTATGGAAAAACGTAGATGACTCTTTGAAACAGCTCAATGCCACCAAGATCAAATGTGATGCTTGTTTTTGGCTCTGGCGAGTTCCTGAAGATGAACGTTTCAAGCCTGGTGATCCCAATTTTCGCTGGAAAACTCTTGGTTTTATGGCAGGTCACGTTGACGATTTTCATCGCTCTGGTGACATGAAGGACCCAAGGTGGCTCAAAATAAGATCCGAAATAGATAAGAAATGGAAATGGGGACTTGCAAAGAAAAACGAATATCGCCATGCTGGTACTGATTTACATATGGAAACTGACCCTGTGTATGGCCGTTGTCTTGTTGTTGATCAGAATTTTTACATCGAGATGTTGGAAGATGTTCAAATAGATCCTCAACGTTTTTCTCAGTCGCAAGAACTCATGCAGTCCAATGAGATCACAGCATGTCGTGGAGCTCTAGGTGCTCTACAATGGGTTGCAGTCCAGACTCAACCGCTACTTTGTGCACGATGCAATCTACTCCTGACTGAGTTGGCGCATTCTCCAAAGATCCAGCTTGCTCAGGAGATCCAGGAAATGATCAAAGAAGTTCGACAATCAAGTACTGTTTTGAATTTTTTCAAGTTACCCAAAGTCAAACATTGGACGGAAATGGTGTTTGTAGGTTTGGGAGACCAAGCTCACCTCAATAGACCAAAGGGTGGCAGTACTGGAGGGTTGTTGATTTTTCTTAGTAACTCTGATTTGTCAATTGGCCTACCAGCTCCCATGGTTCTGGTAAGTTGGCGATCCTGGAAGTTGCAACGAGTGGCCATCGGAACGAACGATGCCGAAGTCCAATCACTAGTTGAAGCTGAGGATGTTCTTTTTCGTTCACGTTTGCTCTGGGTTGAAATCAATGGTGGTGGAACATACAATATCCAGAAAGCTGTCTTAGAAGCCTCTGAATTGGAAGTTTGTCAAGTGACCGGTTTGCTTGTCACGGATTCAAAGGGTGGATACGACAGTATCATAGTGAATGAGAGCCCTCTCTTAGGCCTTTCCAATACTAGAGCTGCACTCCAAGCATGGCAACTCAAAGAAGCCTTGCCAAGGTGTGGCACACGTTTGATGTGGCTAGCTAGCGATTGGAACTTAGCTGATTGCATGACAAAGAAGAAGCCAGAATGCAGGACATCCATGTCCTACTTTTTCAAGCGCAGAATTTGGATGCTGAAATTTGATCCCAACTTCGTACAGTCTTCACGTAAAGAGAAGAAAGCCAAAGGATCACCTATTCAGCAACTCAGTGCTAAGGCGCATGATGTCAAGAGTTCAGAAAACTTTTCGGGTAATGCAAGTCATCAGATTTCATCCAGTGATTCTTTGATTCAATCCCATGCCCTTTTCTCTCAGGTGAACTCTTGATGCATGCTTTTGCCTGGCGTGTGGCCCAAAACCAGGGGCCCCTTGAACCGTTACGTGGTGCGGCCATGTGAAAAAGGTGAAGAGTCACCTGTGCGCTTAGCCGAAGAGTCGGCTTGGGAACTTGGTTGAGAAGGAGGCTGGAACTGGTGTTTTGCTCCCTCAAGGGGAATCATTCATAACATTAATTCTTGGTCGCATCTACAATTTGGGAACCTATCTTTTTGGATTGCAGTCGCTGCCGGCTACCTGCAGAATCCCCAGAGTTCATGGGAAAATCCCTGGTTTCCGGTCGATTCGTTCCCTTTTTGAAAGGGATTTTCGTCGTTCATGGGATATACCATAGAAATCCATAGAATAGGGTTTTCCCTTTTTCGTCAATCTATGGTTTCTAAAACCCATGGGAAAATCCATTGGTTCACTGGAAACAAAGGCGAAACATCTTCGTCCAGCCACCGTCGAAGCGCTTGTTCAGAAACTTTGGCATCTCGGTCAGCCACTCGGCCTGATGCGGCTGGGGTGGACAAGGTTACTGTAGTTTACCTATATGTTGGATATGTTTACTTGTAATTGTTGATCGTGCGTGAAGGTATATACATATATAATCATATATATATATACACATACATTTACATAACTATACATATGCATATTATGCAGTAGTTCTTGGGAAAAAATGATGATGATAATTATTATGTTTGGCTATTTTTTGGAATACATGCTGGTAAATATTAATGTGACATCCATGCCATCCATGGAACGGAACTTAGAGGATCACTAGGGACTTAAGTGGATAGTAACTGGGGTCATAACATAATATAATACTCGTTGCTGGGTTTCAACCCCTCTGAAAAATATGAAAGCCAGTTGGGGTTACTATTCCCAATATATGGAAAAATCAAAAATGTTCCAAACCACCAACCAGCAATCCATGTGGGTGTCTGAAAACGGGGTATACCGTATACCCATCACATGGTCATTTTAATGGGAATTCTTGGAATTGTTGGTACCCAATTTTCAGACACACCGATTTACTAACGGGGATAACCAATCATCTGACTTCATCCATTTCCTTCAAAATAAATATGGAATCCCCATCCCTGTAATGATCCTCTTGGTTTTTGTTCCCCCAAACATCATCTTGCGAGACATGGTTGGCCATCACTTTTGTATCCAGAGCAACTTATTGCAATGTTGGCTGCAGAGACATCCATTTGCTATCACCGACCAAGACACAGTGGGTTCTGGCTTTCCGGCTGAAATGGTGTCAATGTCACTGGTATCAACAACATTTGCTGGATCCCGGGGATATGGCTTTACAAAGCAAATCCGTTGAAAGCCCAATGAAGCCCAAGATCCAAGTGACATTTCTGAGGAGGGTCTTCCAGTAACAAACGGATGTATTTCTGGCAGCTGGTTCCAGATTCCTTGCTTAAGAACCAGTTGTGGATGAATCACAGCACTTATGAGGAAACACTGAACCAGATGAACCAGTAAGACAGGTATCTGAAACCAGCAGGCTTCGTTCACGGAATGAAGGTGAAACGTCTTTTCCGCGCCAACGGCTCACACCTGCGGACAGGGTCACGTTTCCTTCATCGCATCCCATGTTGTCATGTACTTTCCTTAGTTGTGATTGGATATTTCAGATTGTTCAAGAATATATTATCCCAGTTGTAAAGCAATATAAATCTCACATGTTGCTGGGCAATCTCGTAAAATCCCAACCAGTTCTCAAATGGATATTCCTCTATTGAGATATAATAACTACTAGTAAGATATAAGATCATCAATTATCACACATACTAATACTACCTACTTGTACAAGAAATTAACATAGATATTGATATTAAACATCAATATATTAATCATAAGAGTAGTAATCTCCAATCATCTCCAATCATCAATCATCAATTATACAAGAGATTTTTACATAGACAGTGATATTAACCATAGATATTAAACAAGATATTAAACCATAGATATTGATATTCACCACAGATACTACCTACTTGTACAAGAGATTAACCATAGATCATTGAGACATCAAAATCTAGAGATCATTTCCAAGGAGACCGGTGGGTCCAGACCTCTAGGCTCGCTCGATCCCAATGATTCAGTGGTGGTGAAATCCCCAGATTTCGTGCTTCAAACCATAGGAATTTGATCACTTTTGGGTGCTTCAATCCACATTATTTCGGTCAAATTTGGGTGGTCAAATAGTCAAATTCTATAAAATCTGATCAGAATCCCACAAAAATTTCCGTATTTTGCTGGTCAAATCCCATTGTTTCAGCGGTTCAGTCCACATGAAACACATCGAAAACGCCAAAGGATCAACGAAAAACGGCCTCGCTGGGGTCCATTGAAACTGGATGCTCGGAGACGCCTCTGGAGGTGTTTTTTTCATGTGGGAAACCATGGGTTCTTCGATGCCAAACATGATGGTTTTTCAAGGTGTTTTTTCCATGGGATTCCTACTTGTTGCTAGACAAAGTAACAAGTATAGCCTGGATTTTATTTAAAGATGTATGTGGAGTGAACTTGGGAAACCCTTCTTGGAAAACAAGGTTTTTGTGGTGTGTATGTGGGAAACCTTGGATGATTTTCCAATGCTTCTCACGGGATTCCTAATAGAAAAGTCAATGCCTACTAATCCCATTCCCCGTTTACATGAAGCAACCCCGATGATAAACCATGGTTAAGAGTCAAGAGGATTGCCATACAATGTTTTTGTTTAATGGTTTTTCATATTATGAACGGGATAATTTTCAATCTCCGAACCAAATGGAGGGTTTAATGGGAAAACCCTGGAAACAAATGGATGTAAATGGTGGATTTCCGTTGCGACATTTACTTACCAAAAGGTCAACCCAATGCCACAAACCTACAGCATTTGGAGATATTTGAAGATGTTTTATACCACCCATTGATGGTCATATCGGGGATGGTTTATAATTGGATTTACCGTATGACCTTGACAAGGTATTTTGTGCCATGGTGACTATTGAACATACTTTGGCATTTAGGTGATATGATGATGATGATTTAAGTTATTTGCTGCAAATCAATTGGATATTGGATTCTCGAAGATCAACATAATATATATATATATAGAGAGAGATAGATATCGTAGTACATAGCATGTGTCATGAAGCTGTTCATAGTGCTTACAGTAACAAGTTTTGAACATATGGGTTTGTCTGAACATGGTGGATACCCCAAAATGCTATGTTTCATGGGGAAAAGGGTGATAAACCATAGATATTCGGGGTACCCGTACCCCATTTTCAGACAGTTCCATGTCGATTCTGAATATTGTAAACCATGGTACCCGGGGTCAGTGATACGAACTACTCTCTGGTAAACGTTTACATCACTATGGAAAATCACCATTTTTAATGGGTAAAGCAACGAGCTAAATAGCCATTTTCAATAGCTATGTTAAATTACCAGAGGGTACATGATATCTTCAATTTCATGGAGAAAAAAACCAAGGGATTCCCATTCAACGAATCCCATGGTTTCTCACCAACGACCGATAACCACCGATAACGACGGTCCAACCAGTGGCGCGTCATCCCATGATCCTCTCAACCACTAACGATGGATTGTTCATATCCAACTGCCAATTCAATGATAATCGGTTCATATCTGTTCAATTAATCAAATAGATCATTCATGGACGTTTTTTTGGGTAATTCATTGTGGATACACTATATATTGTATTGTATATATTATGTCTTCATGAATATCTTCATAGCCAGAACATCTATCCTTTCAGCGGGCCCCTATCCCCTGGGGAAAGCCCCGGAAACGCCACGCCACGCTCGTAAACCAAGGTGGAAACCAAGGGGCGATGATGGTCATATTTCCCCCACATGCCATTCAGCACACTCCTCTCACCGAGGCCTCAGAATGACTGGAAAGCCATCGTTTTTCACAATTTCACGCGTCATATAGAGACTCAAAAAACATATATTAAAACATTCTAGAAGTTTGTTGGGGCAGTAGAATCACTGTTATCATCCAAGTCTTGATTTTTTTGTCCACCAGAGATTGGTCAATATTGTGAAAGAAGCCACAGGGTCAATCCACAGGCTGGAAAAATCCACCCAAACTCAGGAAATCTACGGAAAGATATGTCCACCATGCAATGTTAAAATCAATTCTTTCAGCAACTTCAAACCATTTTCAATGTAGAAATTTGCATCACAATTCTCCATCTATCCATCTATCTATATATATATATATTTATATCCATAATATATATATATATATACATATACATATATATACATATATATATATACATATATATATATATGTATATGTATATGTATATATAATATATATATATATTCATACATGTTCCACCATGAATTAGCCGACTTTTGAAGGACATCCGCATCCATCAGCATCCCAAAACTTGCTGCTGCCGCGGCTGTGTGAATAGAAGGCCCCAGAGGTGAGATCCTTCGGCATGCGCAGCAAATGCTTCGGCAGCCGGCCTCGCAAGATGGATGACTTAGTCTGGTTGGATCCATGGAAAAATCCATCGAAATGGGATGATTCAGGGGTACCCATTTTTCCGGATAATCCCATGGTATTTAGATGTTATAAACCATGAATGATTCATTTTTTCAGGAAAAAAACCTATAAAATGATATAAAATGGACATTTTCCGGATGTTGAGAGAATGATGTCGAAATGACGCTTCAACATGTTGATTTCTTGCTGGAGTTTAACTCGAGTTTCTGCCGCCATGGCATTGCTCGGCGGCCTGTGAACTCGATGTAGTCGGTGGTTCCCCAAATCTTGGTGAGCCAAGACTGGGCAAGCTGCGAATTTTTCATGGGGGATATGATATAACCCATAGGATCCATGTATGGCATATATGGTAACATTGGAGGCATATTGATGGTAAATGTTACCATATATAGCATACATGGATCCTATGGGTAATGGTGATGGGGACATCTTCAATCATATTCATGATATATACAGTAAGATTATCTAAGCATATCTAAGCAACATGAAGCAAGACTGTGAAATTTGGGTGTATGTCTATGTGTGTCTGAACATGGGGTAGACAGGGGTATACTCCGCAAATCTTTATCAAAGAATAGGGACCTTAGTTGATTTATTATCGGCAGCCTATTTTCAGACCACCAGTTGTTAAGGGAAGATGGTCAAAACACCTCAGTTAGCGGCCGGTCGTTCCATCCTTGCATTTTGCTTTAGAGACATGTCACAGGTGTCTTTTGAAATCTTACACATAAAGTCACATGGGAGTTTAGGAGTTATGGGGGTACTACCCTAGTTATCATCCATTTATAGATGAATGGCTTCCCCTGAAATAAACCATCCAGCGATAAAGGGGTACCCCCATGACTATGGAAACATCCATGATATCATGATCACCATCCACAAACCCCCAAGTGGAGTGAAGCCACTTGCGACACTGAGTGTCTGACCAGGTACCTTTGAAAAACCGACTGTACAAATCCGGCCATAACAGCGGGGGAAGCTGGATCAATTTTACTATAGGAAATCGCCACTGCCAATAGGAAACTCAAGGAACTAAATGGGCCATTTTCAATAGCTTTTTGTTGGTTTACCAGAGGGTAGAATATGATAACAAAACCAAGATCCTTCCACAAATTGGCTGGTCCAAACATGGAGAAATCCTGGTTGCTTTGAAACAGAAGTTTCACAACAATCGCAAACAATGGCAAACAGAATGGCAGTACATTCTGAGTTTCAGTACTCAGTCAAGGCTTTACCATGATCTATCATTTGATATCAATATACCCATATACATTTTGATGGTTATAACCCCTATCAAGTATGCTGATCCACCATAAAACCCAGTAATTCTCAGCTTTGGGAACATTTTTTCTCTCACATGTTCGAGACGCCCTCTGCGGCATTTAAAACTGCCCTGGGCATCACAAAGCTTCGTGCTTCGCCACAGGACCTGTGCACCCTGCAAAAGAACAGGGGGTTGGGCAAGATCTTCCTCGAATGGGTCGGAAAATCCATGACAATGATGAGATTTTAAGCGGTGTTTTCCCAGATGTTCAGAGCAAGCCTGGGTTGATCACGATGACCCAAGATGACCCAAGAGGGCCATGAAAAATCGGGGGATGTTGATGGGATTCTATTCCCAATCCCAGGTTGATGGATTACCCATGTGACCCCATTATGGTTACTTGATTGGTAAACAACATATCAATGTGACTGGTAAAGGTAACTATATATGAAAATTTCAATGATCCACCAAAACGGGATGTCGCAGTCTGGGAACATCGGTGTATGCTGAATCTGAATGATATCCGCATATTTCTAAATGTTGAGCAGGGCGCAATTTTCATCAAATTTCCATGAAATGAATGGCTCTGCAACACCCAGTGCCGCCTTTTGGCATACAGTTGTTGTAACCTACGGCGGGATTAAATGTGCAAAACAATGCACATCAAAAATCATTTGCTCTCACAATCGGACACGCACCCAAATTTTCAACCTATGAGTGGTAAATTTGCCAAAATATGACAAAATCACAATTCACTCACAACGTTATGTTCATATCATTCCAAGTAGATGAAGCAACTTCATGTCAGTCCCCAAACAACACTCCTGTATGACATTGTCTTCATGTTCTCATAAGTTTTCCATCTTGTCCTCACGTTCTGCTTCTACTGTCAATTCTCTATGGGAAACATGTCCAGGATCTGCATGGCCACGAGCTGGCCAGCGACATGCAGCTGCCCCCGGAGGCACAAAAAAGAGGAGGGTCCCTAAACATTGTTATATTTGTTATTCAAGTGAAACTACCAGCAAAATCCGAACGTCCTCCATAGTGATGTGTTCGTATCTTTCTTGTCATCCCAAATTTATTGTCCAATGCTTCTTTTCGGAGATTGAAAAGACCACATTTCATCCCATTTAAGGTTTTTAGCCCACGCATAGTGTTGGTTACAACCCAATCATGTCCAACGATCGTCTATTGATACTTACATCCAATGGTTTTATATTCGCATGTGGTAAACCCAATTTTGTTCACCATTCCTAAGAGATATCTATTCTTAGATATACGTTACACCCCTATTATTTGGGATGATGTAAAACAACCCCCAAATGGGCAATACCGTGGGATGGTTTAACACCCACTAACTAGTTCGTTATATCTACCATAAGCCCAATCGAATTGAAGTTATGTTCACCAGCTTATCTATCATACATGAGCTATAAATCCCATATAAATCCATATGTGTGAAGGTTAAATTCCATTAAATCCCATATATAAATATCATATATGTATCTGTATATAATATAATATATATATAACCATTAAATCCCCATCAAATACCATTTATGGTCAATTCATCCCATATTAAAATCATGGTTTTTTCCATAAAAATCTCCATGTTTCTTGGTTAAACCCCCATGAGGGGCCGCCCAGTTCACTCTCAGCGCGGGGTCGGAAGATCGGCGCCTTGAAGGCGGCCTGGATGGGATGGGAAGATCCCCAGACATGTTAAAAAATATGGTACCCTCTGGTAAACGTTTACATAACTATGGAAAGATCCACCATTTTTAATGGGAAAAATCCACTATTTCTATAGCCATTTTCAATAGCTATGTTAGTTTACCAGAGGGTACAGTCAGTAGCTCCATTCAAATTCAAGTTATGGATCCTGAAATTCCGTTTTTTTTCCGGCCCGAGAAGTAACCAGAAAAATGTTTGTACTGAACAAAAATCCTCGATTTTTTAGCGCTGGTGAAATGATGCTTAAATCATGTTAAATCCCATTTGTTTCTTGCAGTTATGGCCATGGCTATTAGTTATAACTGGTTATTTCTATGGGATGATGACATTCTATAAATGGGGTTATTTCAGTACTTATAACTGGTAAAGGGCCATAACTGTGGATGAAAAAGTGAATTGCTGTTGAATGCATCACCAAAAGTTGTGGATTATTCTGCTGAAACCATCTGCTTAAGTACTGGGTGATTGATTAATTATAATAGTTGGGTATTAATTTGGATATTCACCATGCGACCATGTTTGGATGATGAATTAATGTTGGTAAAGCAATAGTACACCGTTCCCATTTTTTTTGCATAAATGGGTACAAACCATCGATCCATATGGGTGGTTTATGATTGTTTTACTAACATGAGGATACATTAGGCTTGTTATTTTTTATGGTTAAAGGTCATGAACACTACCACATCATAGCACATACCCTCTGGTAAACTAACATAACTATGGAACATCACCATTTTTAATGGAAAAATCCACTATAAATGGCCATTTTCAATAGCTATGTTAAATTACCAGAGGGTAATCTTCCAGGTGAATGGCTCTTCCGGTCTTCACCTGGAAGACGATGTGGTAGATTTATATGGCTATGAGTCAAAACCTAGTACCCAAACGGTACCTTAAAATAGCTGGTAAATGCATGGTCATTCCCTTTTTTTTTTCGTAAATTCATAGGTTTTGACCCATCCCCCATTTCTAGATTTCATGACCTTACCCAAACTTTCCAAACTTTCCAAACTTCACTGAAAACTTGCGGAACATTCTAAGCTTCAGAGGCACTGTTTTGTCTGGAACCACCGCGGCTGTTGAGGCTGCTTTGCTTGGCCACTTCGCCAATGTAGGAAAGACGTCCTGGGATCACCCAGAGCAGCGACTTCATCGGATTATTCCTCGTGATTTTTATCGGCTGGTTGGTGGTGCAAACACAATCTGAAAAAAAACATGAGTCAGTTGGGATGATTATTCCCAATTCTTCCCACAGTAATTAATCTGGTTGGTGGTTTTAACATGTTTTAACCATCTTGAAACATATGAGTAAGTCAATGGGAAGGATTATCACATATATTATGGACAATAAAACATGTTCCAAACCACCAACCAGATCGTGATTTAATGGATATCAATGGGATATACCCTCTCACAATTCAGCATAGCGCAGATGGGTGAACATGACCCATTTGTGGATGATTTGTCTATTCCAAATTGTGATGTTCCATACCTATTCTAAACTACCAGAGGGTATATATATATACCCCCTGGATTCCCCTCTGGTAATCTAACACCTCCACGGAAATCTTTCAATGAATGATTTCCCGATTCCACATGAGGATGAGATACTGTGGTAAACCCTGAGCCAAGACCAACCAAGTTCGCAACGTTCATTTGAAAACCCCTACAGGGTCATATTGTTCTACCTTTTCTTCTGCTATAGATACCTGGAACTCAGAGAAGGTTGAACAAAAAAAAATAGCAAGTGAAGTTGCTATCTCCCGATCAAGGAATCAAAATATAGCCTATCCGTTTTACTTCAAAGGCCATGAAAAGCTTTGCTGTGATAGGATATAATTTGAATGTTGATCTAGTAGCAGCTGAGACTGGAAAACACATGATATCCCAATTGCCGGTGATTGTATATGTAGCAACATAGTGATCCACTTTGCTCACTGTTTATATTCATGCATGGTCATCATTGTTGGGCGTATATTGATCCAATTTTTGCACACATCATAGTCATATCATGTGCACATGCGGAACATAATTTATGCTGCGACGCCCACTTGCTTGGGTACCATCAAGCCGATGCTACTTCCAAGTGGGCCTCACGTGAGCTTGGGACAAAATTAGTGTATATATATATATATATATGTGAAATCCACAGGTGCCTATCCACCTTTCCTGGTCACATCTCACAGGTTGCATGTACAGGGAACATTTTGGCTGAAGGATCCAAAAGGATGAGCCCGTGCGATCCCACGGTTGGGAGTCTCGAGTTTCCGCATTGGTAGCGGAGCCCGGACAGTCCGGGCCCGCGCATGGTTGTCGCACAGGTCCCACGGTGGTGACCTTGCACAGGTGCCTATGGCGTCTTCATCAGCTGGAGCTGATGGCCCCGGTGGGTCAATCCGCTATTTTAGCGGCGAATCAGAAGACGACCTGGAATACAAGAGGTGGCGTAACTGGGTGGCGAACAAGCTGCTCACACTGGACAAGTTGCCGAAGGAAGCCTATGGACCATACATCTACACCTTGCTGTCAGGCAAAGCTCTGGAGTGTGTGGAGCATTTGGACACAGCAGATTATCAGAAGTCAGGGGGAGATCAAGTACTTCTTCAACTTTTGGATAGTCGTTTCCCTCAGAAGGAGAAGACAGATGTCATGGGTGAGACTCTGGGCGAAGTGTTCAATTTGAGATCCAAACCAAATGAGCCGTTGAAAGCATGGGTGGCTAGGGCCACCGAACTGTTTGACAGGTGCGAGAGGAAATGTGGTGTAAAGTTTCCGCCAGAGGCTCGTGGATGGATCCTGCTTCATCGAGCAGGCCTTACAGAAGAACAGCAAGCCGTAGTGCTGGCCAGGGCACAGGGCAAGTTGGAGCGAGAACAAATCTCAGTGGCCATGAGGTCATGTTATCCGGAGATGATTTGCCGTGGTACCAAGTCTACAGCTGCTCACGTGGTTGAGGAAGATTCTGGTCTTGATCTGGATGAATCGGAGGCTCCCACTTTGGAAGCCGAGTTTCCCGATGTAGAGCTGTTGCTTTCAGAACATCACTGTCATGGATTAGATGAAATCAACGGCAGCAGTGATGCGTTTTTGGAAACGGACGTTGCCGAGGTTCTCCAGGTTTCCTGGCGCGAAAAACGTGCTGAGCTGTCTAAGTTACAGAAGGCTCGAAAGTTCACAGCTGCCAAGGAACTCCGCCGAAGTTTTCGAGTGGAAGTAGAAGAACTGAAACGCAAGACCAAGTGCCATCGATGTGGAAAGCAGGGACATTGGTCCCGCGAATGCAAACAGCCCAGGAAGGATTTTCCTCAGAGGTCCGAGACCAACAAGGGTTCCGCGCCTACTTCTGGCGCCGCAGTGGTGCAAGCAGATTCATTAGATTTTGTAGCTGCCGTGGAACATGTGGTCCCACATTCTGTAGACTGGGTTGGCCGTGAGTTGACAATGTTGGAACAGCTGCGAGAAATGACACAGGGTCGAACTGAGTCTCAACCGACGGTCACCGAGAATGAGGTGCTGCTGGTATCATCACCCGGTTTTGGGGTGCTGGATTCGGGATGTGGCCGAACGATCATTGGATTGGAAACACTGTCTGACTTTGAAAAGATGCTGAACAATCGCAATATGCCCAAGCCAAGTCGAAGAACAGAGTACAACAGTTTTCGTTTTGGAAATGGTGCTACAGAGATTTCAACTGAGGTAGCAATGTTGCCCTGTTTCTTAGCTGGTCGAAGAGGTGTGATTTCAGCAGCCGTAGTGCAAGGAAAAGCTCCCTTGCTCATCTCTCGTGGAGCTCTTCAGACACTGAAAGCATGTTTGGATTTTCAGAATAATCAGATTCAGTTGTTCGATGATCGGGTCGTAGTCCCGCTGGCTACCAACTCTGCTGGACAGTATGTGATCAATTTGTTGGACAAGCCTGACAATGACAGCCCAACAGTTGAGGATGGACCTGAACCGCTTGCTGCTGTGCCTTCCCAAGAGGCCTTGCCGGTTCTGCCTGCTGTTGAGCCCGCGTCGAATCATGAAGCCGCCGTGAACTCTGAGCTTCATGAGCTGTCCAACGAGCGTTGCCAGGTGCCTCAGGACAGTCCGTGTCCTGCCCATGAGTGTCCTGAAACCCCGAAATATGTGTGGATTAGAGAGGATTGGGGGAATAGTCATGGTCCCATAGCTACTAATGGGGGTCCTCAATGGGAGAAGGTAAAACGTAGGATAATCCGCACTGCACATCATGGGAAGATCCTGTGGAATGAGGAGATTGATCACAGCAAGCCACGGAAGTGGTATCATCACAAGCTGCCGGCGCATGTAGAACACACCATCACCGAGTTCCACCATGATGATCCATGTAAACATGACCCCAAGCCTCCCATGCTGTCTCAACGTGATTGTCGTAGGTTGCACCAACAGGTCATGTCATGTGTCACGACGGAAAGGACCCATGCCAAGTCGAAGCGCATGATGGTGGTCGAAGTGTTCTCACCTCCGAGATTTGCTGAAGCGTGCCAGCGTGTAGGACTCAAAGCCCGCAGCATTGATCTGATCACCGGCCAGGATCTCACAGTGCCTGCCACTTGTAGGGAATTGGAGCAAGACCTTAAGGATAATCCTCCCGAGCTCTTAATCTTGTGTCCCCCATGCACTGATGAAGGTGGTTGGTTTCACCTAAACAAGCATAAATGGCCGGTAGAAGAGTATTTGAGACGTATCACCCAAAGCAGGAATTTCATCAAGTACTGTTGTCGTCTGTTCAAAACCCAGGTGAGTCTAGGAGGTCGAGCCATGTTTGAACATCCGAAACCTGCCAAGACTTGGAAGTATGAAGAGATGCAGAACTTGTTGAGGAGATTCCCTTCTGTTGACTGTGACATGTGTCAATATGGGTTGAAAATTCCTGATAGTGATCGTTTCATCCGCAAGAGTACTCGTTTGCTCCTGAGCCATGAAGACATGAAATGTCTAGGCAAGACATGTCCTGGTTCCAGCGATCCGTGCCATGTGTGTCATGATCACGTTGCCGGCTCACATGCCTCGATTGGCCGAGTGAGCACGTTTGCTGGCCGATACACGGAATCTTTCGTGCAGGCTGTGTTGGAAACCGTTCCTGCATACCGCAAGCATTGTCACCAGTGTCTAGAGGTGCACGAAGATACAGTTCCAGACCGTCTCTGGCCGGAAGTGTTGGCCGTGACTGAGAAAGTAGGCGAACAGTCTGACGAAGAACTCAAGGTTGTTTTGCTGAAGGCTCACAAGAATCTTGGTCACCCCGCCACACATGATCTTGTGCGCATACTCCAGAACGCACAAGCCAGTGACCGTGCCATTGCGTTAGCCCGCACTCTAGAATGCCCAGTTTGTATCAGCCAAAGCAAGCCAAAGGCCGCTTTGCCTGCTCAGCCGCAAAGGGTCTCCGAATTCAACAGGCAGATTGGCATAGATGTGAAGCATTTGACTGGTTGGCGTCCGAATCAGAAGATCAAGGCGTTGAACATTGTTGATACTGCGAGTGGTCTCCAACGTATGATTCCTTTTACCAGCCCTGAAACCAGTAAACTCCTGTGGTCACTGTTGCAGGAACATTGGATTAGTTGGGCAGGCCCACCCAAGGAAATCGTGTTGGACCCATCTGCAACGAATTTGGGAGAACCACTTATTGTTCCTTTAGAACATCGTGGTATTCATGTTCGTCAGATTGCCGCGGGTGCTCACTTCCAACTAGGGAAGGTAGAATCGCATGGAGGTTGGTTTAACCGAGTGCTGGAGAAGATCCTGACGGAATTTCCGCCTTCAAATCATGAAGATTGGTTGGAATGTGTTAGCCATGCCCATGTCAAGAACAGCATGTTGCAACATCATGGAGTCACGCCACATCAGTTTGTGTTTGGTCGTAATCCTGATGTTCCTGAAGATCTTCTCAATGAGCCCCAGCGAGTAGTCAGTGCCACTGCAGCCCTTACAGATGAGGCCATTGATCGAGCCAACAAGATCAGGCTTTCAGCAAGGGAAGCTGTCATCCGCTTGCAAGACGATCGGTCCCTCCGATTGGCTCTTGCTGCACGTCCAAGGGTTGTAGAAGAATTTAAGCCTGGAGACATGGTGGCATACTGGCGTAATCAGAAGTGGGTTCAGGGTAAGCTGATGTTAGGGGGTAAGTGGTACGGTACTGCCATAGTGTTGGGTAAAGTAGGTCGTAACTATGTCCTTGCCCACCGAAAGCAAGTCCTTAGAGCTGCTCCCGAACAAGTTCGTTCAGCGACCACCGAAGAGACCACTTTGCTGAAGACAATGGATGTTGAGTTGCTAGGAATCAAAGATCTCATTGAAGGAGATGCTTTCAAGAGCCAGCAGTTTCATGACCTCACGTCCCAATCGTATCCATCGGTGGCCAACACGAACACCGGTGAACCCACATGCTTGGAACCAACTGAGTCTGAAAGGACTCATGATGCTCCTGCCGCGCGAGCCAGTTTGCACGTGCCTGACAGCCCAGTGCCACCGCTGGTTCAACAGCAACCAGCCGTGCCAGAGCCTGCAGTAGGTGATGTCCCAACAGTGCCTGAATCTCTCGTTCCTGAACCAGAGCGTAACAGCACTGAATTGAGTGATCAGGCAAGCCCTTCCAGTGAGGTGTCCTCTACTTATGGTCCAATGAGAAAGGTACGAGGGAAGAACGGGCCTGATGCGTTGTGGCGTCCGCCCTCCATGAAACAGGAGGATTTTGTGTCCATCATGCAGGAAGTTGCACCGCAGCTCATCAGTGATCTTTTACACCAAGAGCACTCTGGAGTTGCCGACTCAAGCATGTCAGCTAGTAGCCACTCAGGGAAACGTAATCACGAGCAGGGTGATTCCAGTCCAAGTGAAGAGCCTGCAACTTCCAAACAGCGCACCGCCTCTCCAAGCACAGAGACCATGTCAGTAGAGTGGTTGGATACATGTGACACCGCCGAAGTCCTCATTGCAGAATACCTTAAACATAAAGCTGCCAAAGAGATACCCCATAGTAACAATCTACCAGAGGTGCAGAAGAAAGTTGATCAGGGTAAGCGACTTGAATGGGAAACAATGGTCAACAAACCGGGGGTAGTTAAAGTTCACTATGGTAAACATGCTCAGAAGATTCGTGAAGAACAAGCCCATCGTTTCATTGGTAGTCGTTTTGTGTTGACACGGAAAGCAATGGAGGAAGGTCAGGTAGTCAAGCCTGACGATCCAACCACGTACACTGTAAAGGGGCGCTGGTGTTTGCAAGGTCATTTGGACCCAGATCTGCAGCAGAAAGCTGAAGAAGGCAAGCTTCAGTCTCCGACTTTGAGCCAGCTTAGTCGTATGGTGTTGATGCAGGTCATAGCCAGCCATGGCTGGGATCTTGAACTGGGAGACATAAAGAGTGCCTTCCTTGAAGCAGGGTTGTTGGACGACAAGTACCGCCCGCTGTATGCCAAGCAGCCACCAGGTGGTATTCCAGGTCTCCCAGAGTCTGCAGTGATCGAAGTGTTGGGAAACATCTACGGACAGAACGATGCCCCTGCAGCATGGTTTGGAACGTTCAAACAAGCAGCCATAGACGCTGGATGGATTCAGAGTAGTTTTGACAGCTGTTTGTTTACCCTTCGATCCAAGCAGAGTAATTCGCTGATAGGAGTGCTGGGGGTTCATGTCGACGACACGGCTCTTGGAGGAGCCGGGCCTGAGTTCCGTTTGGCCATAGAGAAGCTTCGTGCACGTTTTCCATACAGAAAATGGCGTGTCAACAGTGGGGAGTTTTGTGGTGCCTTTTATGAGCAAGATCCCAAGACAAAAGTCATCCGCATGAGTATGAAGAACTGCGCTGAAAAGCTTCGCCCAGCCAATATCAAGCGAGGTGTATCACCAGAGACACCTCTTGATGCTATGCAGCAACGCACTTTGCGTGCAATCAATGGTTCTCTGAATTGGCTGGCCTCGCAGTCAAGACCCGACATCTCAGCACAAACCAGCATCAGTCAACAAGCCTTTCCAAATCCCAAAATCCGACACCTTCGACATGCCAATAATGTGGTCCGAAGAGCCCGCATGCACAGTGACTTAACTATAACTTTCACCCCCATCAAGCCAGAAAAGCTGACTGTCGTGTGTCATTCAGATGCGGCCTTTGCAAATGTTGGTGACTATACCCAAGCTGGTCATATCATTGCTTTTACCGAAACTAGTCTACAGGATGGTCAGGTAGCTGCATGGTGCCCCATAACTTGGCGAAGTCACAAGCTCACGCGCGCAGTGAGTTCAACATTGGCTGCTGAGAGCCAATCATTGGCCACGGCGTCTGGTACAGTGGAGTGGATCATGCTGCTGTTGTCAGAAGTTTTGGATGGACCTTTCAAGTTGCGTGACTGCAGAGAGAAGCTGAGTGTTAGGAAACCTATCCTGGTGACAGATTGCAAGTCCCTTTACGATCATCTCATGTCACCATCGGCCCCAACTGCAATTGAAGATCGTAGGACTTCCATAGACGTAGTCATAATCAGGGAAAGCATTCGTTCTCTCTCAGCGTTCATGCGTTGGGTCCCAACCGATCGTATGCTGGCAGATGCTCTGACGAAGGATCAGGGCGACCCTCTGGACATGCTACGCTCGTGTCTAAAAAGCTCTGTGTATCAGATCTCACCTGAGGATCATGTGTTGCGAATGCAAGCCAAAGAGAGAGAAGACCGACTCCAAAAGAGACTCAAACCAAGTTCCCCAAATTAGATGCGTCATGTCTGAAAGTTAATCCATCTATGCTTGTGGGTGATGAGCCTTTCTGTGGAAAGAATGCATAGGTGGTCATTCGTTGTGGGGGTCATCATTAACGAGTGTGCTTGTTAAGCTGCAACTGCCAGGCCTTTTCCATAAGTTCTCAAATAGTCAGGGTCATAGCCAAGTACAGTAGTTTTTCCCTCATGTCGCTCTCCAAGGGATTGAATGCCGATGAATCCAAGATGTTGCGCTCCTTGCTGCAGCGTGCCCATGAGAATGGTTCCTTGAATGTCTTCTTGCCCACTCTGGGTTCTGAGACATCTGAGTGGTCAGAAGTCGAATCACTGGAGGAGGATGTGTCTGCTGCTATGAATGATGCATCCAAGCGCCGCCTTGTGAGCCCAGACCGCCAGGATGCAAAGCATGGTCAGACCAAACAGCTTTCAAGCAAAGCTGTATCCGCTGTTGGATCAAAGTCTCCGACGGAGGAAAGCTCAGTGAAGATTGACTTTGCAAAGATGAAGATGCCGTCTGATGTGCAGAGCATTGAGGATTGGGGTACCACCATCATGTCTGAAGGCAAGATGGCACCTCGCCAGATGTCATACGCTGAGCTGGCCTCGTCTTCGGAGGCAGATATCCAGCGCTATCTGCGCTGGCTGATGTCCAATGTCAATTCCAAGAACTTGCCGCAGTACCAGGACCTCTCTCACTACCTCCATGTTACGAAGTATGGTGAGGCCTCTGGGCCAACTGGATTCAACCGGGTCCGCAAGACCGGCTGATCGATCTATGGATGGAGCAAATCTGTGAAAGGTGTGATGCATGAAATAGCTTGCCTTGGGTATGACAAGCGCCCTGTGACCTTGCACCACCATATGGAAGTGGTATAATACAAATCACCGCCGGAGGGCAGTTCTTTCAATTTTAGATTATGACCGGTGTGAAATCCACAGGTGCCTATCCACCTTTCCTGGTCACATCTCACAGGTTGCATGTACAGGGAACATTTTGGCTGAAGGATCCAAAAGGATGAGCCCGTGCGATCCCACGGTTGGGAGTCTCGAGTTTCCGCATATATATACCTGGATCCTCTTGATCGTGGAAATTTCCACAAAGCCAAAATCGATCAATTTTGCCAAATTCAAGAGAAAAAGAACTCCTGAACAATTATTTCCACTCCAGAACGCTTTTTTTTAACTCCAGAACGCTTCCGAACGGTTTTGAACGCTTTTTTAACGCATGTTTAACGCTTTTCGAACGCTTTTTTCCACTCCAGAACGTCCAAAGTGTTCCGAACGGCAAAAACCACTCCGGTGTTCTTTTTTCCACACAAAGCCCCAAAATCGATCTTTTTTGGGTTTGGAGTTAAAAAATCCAGTATTGGGAAGCTTTATACTTATATATGTATCAATACCCTGACGTCCCCTAACATCTAACATAGAACATTGGAGACTTAATACAAAGAAATGACAAAACGATGCGCTCTTGGGCCAAGCGACCCGAGCGTGATTCCAAGCTTCCTTAGTCGTTTTCGACATCCCAACGCAGTGCTATTGCTGGTAGATGGTAATTTGGGACCGGTACCCCCATTTGAGGAAACCTCCATATAGTCAACAACCTAGAATAACTGCCAACTGCCAACTTGTTCGGAGACTGGTCCATTCATGTTAAAATATCATAAAATATCTAAATGTTCTGACAGGTCGTAAACCCCAAAGCCCTTCCCATACACCTGGGCTTACCATTACAGTTCGCCAACATCCAATAACATCCAATAATCCATACATTTCTATATGTATTTCCACATATATTCTCATATATATATATATATGTAATATATAGATACACATCTCCATGAATTTCTACCATTATAAAAATGGTGCTTGATCTCAGCATCTCAGCCAAGCCACGTGCCTTGGCGGCTTCGAGATTGAGCAGTAAGCGCACCAGTGACAGCAGTGGCACGCTGATCAACATGCCTCAGCAGTTGTGGCCATGGCCGTTAGTTATGACTGGTGATTTCTATGGGATACATCAACTGGTTGGTGGTTGAGCCCTATACCCCTCTGAAAAATCATGGAGTTCGTCAGTTGGAATGATGACATTCCCAATATTAATGGAAAGTCATAAAATTCATGTTCCAAACCACCAACCAGTAAACCATTAAAATATCCATAAATGGGGTTGGTTCAGTACAAACATAACCACTCTAACTCGGGCCTACATTCTGTGGAATCGGGAGGACTTTCACCAGCGATTTCTTGGATTTGAACGGAAAGTGATTCCATCAGCCCACGTCAGACTGGGGATATCCGGGGGATCTCCGGGATAATCCGGGTAAGGCTTCGCCTGAAAAGTTCGGCCACACGACTGGAGAGTTACACACTTACCCAAGCATCATTCCAGTGACGTGTCGTGATGTCAATGTGCTGTTTGGGTGAAGCTTTCTTGAATATGGGGTGTAAAATATAGACACGTATAGCCACTATACTCTACACATCTCTACACAATCCATGGGGTTTACCATGATGTTGCTCACTGTTCACTATCAAATTACTATATAAAATTGCGGTATACCCTGTTTTCAGGCTCACCCATTTGGCTAAGTCTCAAGTCCTTGGAAAAGCTCTGAGAACACATTATGCCCTTTTTGGGGGCATCCAGGCCTTGAACTGAGAGCAGAACTGAGAGGTGACCCCAGTACCCCAGCCATCAAAATCTCAGCAGAGTATTTAGAGATTGAACTGTTTGAATATCCCATTTTCAGCAATTTCCAACACATCTCAATGGCCGTCCCAAATCATCAGATTTTAAGGAGCGTTTTGATTGATGTCTTTGGTGTTATTCATCATCAAATTGTGAGATAATCATGTGTGTGATTCTTTTGATTGGCTTTTCATAGTTTGTTGGTTTGAGGGTCTTTGAGGTTTCAGACGCTTATTCATGAAACCAGAAATAAATAGAAATAATATCCATTCTTGTGGACGGTTGCCTTCCCAAAAAAAACAAAGCATCACCGGCGACTTCCCGACTGCTCATAATTTGTCATATGAGTTGGTCATATAATACCCCATGTTTGTTGCAACATATGTGTGCTCCAATCCACTGGTATAGTTGTACCCATCCCATTTGACATTTTGAAACCACCGTCCGCCCGGAAGACTTTTTCTCATCGTCAGGGTGCCAGCCACACCCCAAATTTCTCCACACAGCACCACCGCAAAGAGAATGAGCACCTGGTGAAGGGCTAGCTGTTGGAGCATTCAGAAGCAGGCTTTCTTGACGAACCCCAAAATAGAAACGTTGGAAACCTGGAAATAATTATAGTTCGGAAATATCATCAAACTGCAATCCTGGTTGCACACATGATGATTTTGGGGGTTGCTAGTCTGAGTGCAGCCAAAACCAAACATCACTTTCGCATTTCTGCGAAGGAAAGTGACAAGCCCAGCATGAGGATTCCCCATAAATCACCATCTGTTACAATCTGTCCACATATTCTAAGCCAAACTGAACCACAAGTTGGGATGATTTCAGTGCAGAGGCACAACCTCACCAGCAATCCGATGGTAGTCAAGTCATTGAGGAGCTCTTGCCATTTTTTGGGGTCAGAAACCATGGCGTTTTTGTATGGCTGATATGTTTGCCCCTTACCCAACATGCATGGGGCGTGGAGTAATTCCCAACAAATGGCGGCATCTGCCCTGCTCAATAAACTATACTACAATGATTGTTCATATATATACCTGGGCCTTCCAACTCCTAAAAAATATCAGTCGTTTTGCACAATCAGGCGTTTCATCAAATTTATGGTCGCATCGAGCGTTTCCCCAAAAAGTTAGGCGTGGTATGTCATGGCTGTGTTTCCCATTGGCATGGCCCTCCTCACAGTCTTCTCACCAGTATTTTGCTTTCAATCCGCACATCCAAGTTGGTTTCTGTTTAATTGTGCGCTCCCAAAATTATACCAATTTACCAGATTCTTGGATTTGCGGGCGTTTGCGGGTTTTTGCGGGCGTTTTGCGGATTTTTGCGGGCGTTTTGCGGGTAATTTTGGGCGCAGTTTTTTGCATTTATATGCGTTGGTGCTCGGGATATGAAAATGTCACTTGTGGTGATAGTGTGGCCACTAGGAAGCAAAACCAGGCAAACTAGTAGAAGCAGACGAGATTCTGAAAACTGGGTCATTTTAGGTCATACTCCAAAACAACCAAAAATAATTGATCGAAGGAATGTCCAGGTATATATACTATATACTATATATTATATCATATATCATAACCTATTAATACCTATTATATCTCCATGATGTTGAGTGCTATACCCAATTCAAATTGTCCATCAATTTCACAGCACCCCCTGCGTTGCCCACCGGGTGCGTCTCATCGTTGCTCTCCTCGCTGTTCATCTGTCCCGACAAGACCGCCGAACGCGACATCACCAGCGATTCCAAGCCGTTGGACACGGCGAACTTGATCAACAACATCCCAATGGCCTCGACACGGTCGCAAGATGTCGCGTATGGTGCGGCTCCAAAAAAGGGCTCCAGCTGGGTTGCTGAACATCAACTGTTTTGTCATAAACTGTTGGCTTTCTTTATATGGGATATATATATATATAAATATGGATCTATATTGGAGGTTATAACATGTTATAAACTAACTGACTAACTTATGACTGGGGGGCCCACTTGATACTTTTTCCATGCATAAGTTGGCATCCTAGGATGGATAGAATGGGGTGCCGTAAAATATAACTATGGTGAAATCTAAGGATCTGTCGAACTGACTACCTGTTGGTAGATGGCTAAACTTAAACCAAAAATCAATGTAAACATGAGGATGGTCCATGAAATTGCACAACATCCTCACTAACAACCTAAGTTTTTATGACTCAATGTACAGTTGTCTCGTTATCATACCGACATCATTTAAAGAACTTGTTTTGAGTCTCAAAACCAGCCACAAAAACAATCGAACATTTCTTCGGGCTCAGTGTCAAAGCTGAACAAATCGAGCTCTTTGCCAAGGGAAAAGGAAAACCCTGAGCCACCCATGACGCACTTCAAATCTGTGGTCCTTTGGAAGTTCTTTTTGCAAACGGATGATCTTGGAAACTCTGAAATGATGTGAAATGGCTATAGTAAGCAGCTGATCATCACATGTGTTTTGTTTGGTGGCCCTTGCAAACAAATGACTCATGTTGCTGGTTGTTGCGATCCCCAACTTAAGAAAACTATTATTTGTTTCTGATTTCTTTATCTGTATAACATCATATATATATATACTACGTTTGGATATATAATGATATATATATATATTATATAATATACATATATATATATATATGTAGATGAGATGATATAAATAGCCATAATTATGTTCTTAAGATCTTTTCCTCATGTCCATTGGATCATCCCGATGGTCGCCATCAATGCCCAGCTTCCATAGTGATCAGGTTGGTGATGCGAATTTCCATCGTGACGCGGGAGTCAAAGAGCAGCACAGGTGCCTTTTTTTTGTGCGCTTAAGGGTGCCCGAAAGCCATGGGGTTCAATACCCCATGACGGATCCATGGTGCTGCTATATATGGTGACATCTACCATCAATATACCCCAAATGTTAGCATATATACCATACATGGATCCTATGGGTACTGAAATAGAGTCAAATGGTGAATTTCTGGATGGTATAGAAAGAGTTGAGGGGTACCCCTATCTTTTTAGGACCCCCCCCATTTGGGGGGAAAAGATCAGAAGCAGTGAGAAATCTATGAATCAGGGGAGCAAGCAACGTCAACAAAAATCTGGCATCGAACAACACGAAGCATGGGGGATGAACACAAAATTTTCGCATGGGATGGAACCAACGAAGGTGTGGGTTCAATAGAGGAAAAGCAATGATGTTGATAGCCATCCAAAATGGAGTTATGGAGTCATGGAGTCATGGAATGTCCTCAGGAAGAAAGAGGGGTTGATGTTTCCACAAACAGACTTTATACACCCACAACGTCCTCTACCATTAGTGATAAATCCAATCATAAATCATCGCGGATATCATGATAAATTAAACCAGAAATTAGTCAGAAATTCAGGTCTGTCATTAAATTTATATGGATTTACCACATTGCAGTAGGTTCAGGAATGTTAGGGACATCTCCATGTTGCAATAGTGAACCACTCAGGGATGAGTATTCGCAGTTTTCAATGAGAGCCAGCGAAAGAATGGGACAAGGATAAGCCACGAATCAGGCACTAACCAACTTTGTTCGCGAATATCATCCAAGTACCCTCTGGTAAACCAACATAAGTATGGGAAATCACTGTCAATAGGAACTCAACGAACTAAATGGGACATGTTCAATAACTTTTTGTATGTTTACCAGAGGGCAGTATCTAGATGTATCTAGTGGATTCTTCTCCAACCACAGTTCAACTTCAGCAGCCAAGGTACAGGCATCAAGATGCAAATGACCGAGCCGACCTCCGGAATAAAGCCTGGTCAGAGAGAAGGGAAGTCGCAATGTCCTGGCTCTGAGTCATGAAACCAGCTTTCAAATCTAAAATAAAATTGGGACATATAATTGATGTCAGTTGGCAGTTTTCACTAACTCACATGTGTCTGAACATGTCGGTTTCGAGTACCTAAAATTGGTTTTAAACAGTGAAGTTTTTTTTTCTAGCATTGGCTAACGTAGGTTTTACCTGTAAAACTGAAATGGAGGTTGAAACGATAACAACAATCTTTCAACCATGCAGCACGAAAACATAATTTAAATCGGGAACGGCAGAGGTAGACTCCATGTCTGGACAAATGCAAATAGATCAAATACCCATAGGATCCATGTATGCTATATATGGTGACATTTACCATCAATATACCTCAAATGTTAGCATATATACCATACATGGATCCTATGGGATGTGGTAAATCATGGAAAATCACTCTCCTTACTGCCTTTCAAAGGAGGGCTAAGGAGGGTGGACGGTGGTTGGTTTATAGGGACGTAGCCGCGACCATCAGATTTGAAAGGACCTGCATCTGTTGGGCAGCATTCAAAACAAAATCTGTGCAATCCAGGTGGCGGTTTCACAACCCTCAGATGAAAACATCCGAGATTGCACAAGACTTTGTTTTAATGATTGAACAAATCTGGATGAACATCTCAGTCTTTGTTGGATCATTGTTCCCAACATCAGAGTGAAAAGAACCTCTGCACAAAAAAGTTCGGGTGATCATAACGAGGGGTGTATGGCCGGAAAATTGTTTCGCAATGTTGTCTGGGAAATTTCTTGATTTCTTGGATTGGATTTTCTCAACATGGATTTGAAAATGGTGGATTGGCTCCCCTATCAAACAGCCATGTTTGACCCGATAACGATTCACCATCAATTTTGGGGTGGTGTCAATAAATCTTGAGACAAAACTGACATGGATCCCAACTTCAGCGATCGGGGTGCGGGTCACATACACTACGGTCAAGTTGACCATTCAACAGCCTGAAATGTGGCTTGCCACAGATTGCCGTGTCCTCCAGAAATAAAACTTAAACATATAAAACAATGTCCATCAGACTATAGACTTGAGAGTCAGAAATTGAAGCCCATCAATAGTCCTTATCTGGTTGATGGCATACCTACCCCTCTGACAAATCATGGAGTGAAAGTCAGTTGGGATGATGACATTCCCAATATATGGAGAATAAAACATGTTCCAAACCACCAACCAGTAGTGGTTAATAGTGGTTAATAGTGGTTAATAGTGACTAGTGATTATCCGTTGATTATCCATTGATTATCCATTGATTAATGGTTTCCAAACCACCAAAATCATATAAACCATGGGAGCCTGCGACTCCTTCGGTGCACTCAACCAACCATGGTTGGAAAGCACCGGATGACCGAGGGGCTCAAGAAAAAACAAATCACTGACAGTAGCACGGCCAAATCACATCCTAAGCTTCAGTCTGCGCACAAGGAAATTGCCTAAACATGAATGTGTGGCTGTCTCAAAAATGTGGAATCATTATTCAAAAATTCTATACGATTGTTGGGAATCACATCTCTATTTTGGGGTCTTCACGATTGTAAGACAACCCGTGTAGTTTGAAACTTGACCCTGGAAAAGATGTGCATTTTTCACTTTGGACGTCTTTGGAGCAAGTGAGAGCTACAGTAATTACCAGCAGTGGCAACAAAACTAAGCAGCAATGATGGTGTTTATGGCCTTGTTTTGCATTGCCATGCACGTTGCGGCCTACGCTTTAGTAAAGCAAGGTGTAGTCTGGTGATTTCAAACAACATTCAGTGGGAAACTGAATATTTTCTCATCATCACTTTTTGCTGCCGCAAAAAAATGACATCTCAAACATTTAAGATTCATAGGATCCTACCCAGACCCTTCTTATGTGACCCCCTTCGGGTGGAAACCATGTAAAAACATGAAAACAGCACCTGTGTGGTTTACATAATCTCCCAGGGGAAACAGTCGCCTGGTCTTTTTTTGCTGTTTGCACATCATCACCGGTTTGTGATGGCTTTGCGTCTGGTGTGAGCAAGGCCGGCCAATTTAGCCGACTATTTCTTGTGGTGTTTTTTCACCTTTTTACTATCCTTCTTGGCCTGCTTTGCAGACTTTGAAGCTTTTGGGGAAGACACGGGTTTCTTCTTTTCCATTTTTGGATCAGTTTCATCAACTTCAGCAAATATCTCATCAGTTCCACCGCTCACTGTTTCCTTTGGAAAAGCAGAGCTGGAACTAGATTTTGCCATGGGTTGTTCATCACCATCACTTTTTTGGGAGCCGGTGAAGAGGAAGCCTGTTGTGTCATCAAATTTGTTCACCACTGCTTGGATGGCGTCGTCATCTGGCCTGAGATAATGGCAAGACTAACCCAACATAAATAAGTAGGCCCAAAATTACAATTGGATACGTACGATGGTTATAAAAATAATTAATTCTTTCAGAGTCGCTCAACTTCGTGGGTGTCCGGATTGACTTCCCGATGAACATTCCATAGCCACAACAGCACATCTTTGAGGGCAGCAAACTCAGTGAGTTTTTTCCTCTTTCCGTGCCAGTATGAGGCGTGTGAGTAAAGTCTGAGAGTACCTTAGTCAGGATTCTCTTCTATGGGAAAAAAAGGTCAGGTTCAGGAAAAATAAATAAATGAGTGCAGCATCATGAAAAATAAAAAACGATCAATTGTTTTGCAGATAAAGTACTTGGATTCCCTTTGTCGGGTGCATTGTAAAATGCCTGATACCTCTTCAACTGGGGATGACGAGTGATTCTGCAATTTGCTTCTTTGGGCTGTAAAACTTTCAGGGATCCTGGGGTGACATACTTTTGCTCTGATTTGGTGATGTCGGTCGGTCGTGGGGCCTGGTTTCGTTTGTCTTTCAAAATCTCTTCGTCGGCGGCCACTGCCACCAAGTCAACCCATTCTGGTTGGTTTTCATAATCCATGCCATTGAACGCTTTCAAAATGTCAGACGAGTGTCGTGACACCTTTTCTGCCTGAAGGTGACGCCAATTCTTTCCCATAATGCCCCTGAGCATTTCATTTTGTTCTTTTTCGCTGGCTTTACTATGGAAGAACCTGATAAGTGCCAATGCCCAATCCTTCTTCACTACATTTCCATTTTTCCCAGAGCCATGTGGTTTGGAAACCATCGGGAACTTGTAAGTCGCATGCAAAGACCTGATTTGGGCAAGCGTGACGTAACACCCATTCTTGATTGCAGCTGCAACAACTTGCTCTGGTGGTCCAGTTTGACGAAGTACAACGGCAAAACATTTGAGTGAATCGGGTGTTTGTAGTGGGTGCTGCAACTCCACAGGTAAGTGCAACCAGCCCGTAGTTGTCTCTGTAACTTCCACTCGGTCATTGAACATCCAAACAGGCAGATTCCCAGGGTTTGTATCCACTGTGTAATAAACCTGAATCGAAAAATTTGATGACAACTAACCCTCAACGACAAAAATGGTTCTCTTATGATATCATTGCTGATAATTATCATATTATAGGTTTAAAAAAAGCTGATCACTGATCCAGAAATAAGTAAATAAAATATTATATAGAATCATAAAGAAACACCAGGTAACATCCTCCTGCACTATGTGCTTCACCATACGCAGCCCGAGCGCAGCACATGTTCTGAACCCAAGAGACATCAGGACTCTGTCACTGCGAGAGTTGACGTAGCAGTGATGTTTCATCAGGAAGACGCCTGCAGCAAAGGTCATTGACATTGAAAAGGCTGATCTTTGTAGTGATTTACTGCCTTGTTGCAACCACATCCTGAAATCATCTTGGACACGATTTGACAGACCCAGCAGTTGCATGCAATTACGCACAATGTCCGTGACATTACAATTTATACAGACACTTCCGCTATTAGTAGCGGGCCTGTCCAAGCCATGGTAGCGGATCTGAACTCTGTTCGTGCATTGCCCAGCAACCAGGCACTTGCTGCAGCAGCCCGCTGATTGGATAGTGTGCCAGCCTTTTTGACATCATCCTTCGAATCCCTCACGCTAGAAATCATCCTGTTTCGTATGTCCGGTGGCAATGGAAACTGGTTGATGTGGAATGCCTTTCCTGTGATGTCATCAGGATTCTTTGATTTTCCAGTATCAATCAACCCTTTGTCGAGATGATCTTCATATGTGGTAGCCAAATGTGGCCATCCAAACCCAGACTCTTGAGTCAAAGACTGCATTGTCGTGCAATAGAAATATCTCGTCCACCTCGGTCCCACAGGTGGGTTGTAGGCTTTCCAAGGTCTCTTACAGGGTGAGTAGGTTTCACAGTAAATAGTTTGGAACTTAATACATGTTGGCAACAATTAAAAAAACAATCAACAAATATCAAATAGGATTTATCCGGGTCTAATAAACTTGTCACATCAGAAGCAAAGAAAAGTCACTTGTTCATAGGTGTTGCCAGACTCGCAAGTTTGCCCACCGAAACAAGATGTGCAAACAGATCTTCCAAGCTGAATTTCGTTTCACATGGGCCACCAAACATTCGATAAGCAAGTTTCTGGATCTCTTCATGCTCCATGTTCCATTGACAAGCTTCGCAAAGGGCCATGACTTCTCTAGTAATTTGAAACGTTTGAAATGACACATCCACCAACCTGTCAGAGATTGCTTTTTTCATGGGTTTGCTCAAACCCTCGCCCTGGCAACCTGGTTTCACTGCGTTCTCAGCTGCAACGATAGCTCTCCAGGTGTTGCAGCATCGGTTCAGCACGTGCTGGCCGGTGTCATGGTCATCATGGAGGACGGCTACAACAGAGTAGGGGGGACAGGTTGCAAAGACCATTTGACTCCACACCCGTGCGCTGGCAAGTTCGACCAACAAGGTAAAGTAATCTCTCAGTCTGGTCTGTTCCTCTTTCAACCATGGTTCGTCGTCATTAACAGTGGCTTCCCCCAAGGATTCTGACGAATCACAAGAAATGAATTTCGACAGTATACCAGCATCATGTATGGTCCCAACAGACTGAAGTATGGAACCAAACCATTCACCCGCTGATCGATGTGCTTGCCAACGACATGATGACTCCTTCAGAGACAAGGTATCTATAATAAGCAGCTTAATCTGAATCTTGTTAATTATAACACGTCACTAGCCAATTTTTGCAAGTATTTTGTTTATGTTATCATGGGGTTAATTAATGAACAGTTCAAAACAATGAGATAAATTCAAGTGGGTCAGTCCTGCGACTCCTTCAGTGCTGACAAAACAGTGCTGTACTCCGCTAAGTAAGGCCTCACAGCATTAACCACCATTCTGAGGTCGTCTCTCAGGGAAAGGTCCCGGTACAAATGAGCACACAAATGGAGGGTGTTCTGAAAGCGTTCCCTCAATGAAGCCAGTTCTTTTTTGGAAGTAGGTTTTTCCCTGGCCACCCGTTGGCGCCCTGCGGCTACTCCAGGACTGTCAGGCACATTGTCTGCTCCTTCATCATCGCCAGATTCGTCATTGTCGGTCTCTTGGCTATGGTGAAATTCGTTCTGGGCAACCTGATCCCTCCATGGTCCATCGCCGTTTGCCTAAGCTCTCATGGTTTAAACTAATCAGATTTATCATGCAGTTGCAATTGATCACAAATCGTGTTGGAATCAAATTTCTTTTCTGCCAGTTACAGTGTCAATGTCCAAGACATGGTCGAGAAGATAGCCCATCAACGACCAGTTGTCGCACAAATGATCCATGACTGCCACTGATGCAAACCAACTCTTTGTTTTGACCTTAGCAAGATCTCAAGTGAAAATTAGAAATTAGTGTGTTTTTTATTCCAGGAATAACCAAATAGTGTGTTTTTCAAACAGTAACTCAAATCTTATTATATAAAATACCGGGTGGCAAAAACTGGAAGGTTCCGTACGCAAGACATATTGGGCAAATCATGTTTGTCATGTGGTAAATCTGGGTCATCAAGATCCACATCAGAAAGACGCCGATCCATCACCATGCAATCTAGGAGATCCTCGAACTGGTCACTGGACATGCTCTGCGACAAGCTGGTTGCCGACTCTTGGATTGTCTGCTGGTTGCGTCCAGACCCAAATGGGCCATGGGCACAATTTGACAATACAGAAGCTAACAACAAACAGTGCTGCAATCCTGCCCGACGAATTGAGTTTTTGGTGTCATTCCACAGCGAATGTGTGTTTTCCGGTTGGATAAAAATCCTGATTCCAGAATGACACAACGTGTAGACCATCTTGAATGGCAGTCCATCCTGATCTGCAGCCTCAGATGCTACTACGTGATAAAGATTTTAACACTGCTGCAGACAATATAGTACATATTTGATATTATTTGATAGTTTTTTTGAATTGAGGGGAACTGTCATCAGAGGAACAGGAAGAAAAGTAAGAACCACTCAACTAATAGTAGCAGTTGCCGTGGCAGTAGAAGCAGTAGTAGCAGTTTAGTAGTCGTAGTAGTTGTTGTTGTCGTTGCTGTTGTTAGTATTCATGTTTGTTATGACCGGAAATAATTATGACGACGACGATGATGATTGATGATGATGATGGTGATGATGATGATGATGATGATGATGCTGATGATGATGATGGTGATGATGAATGACGATGATGATGATGATGGTGATGGTGAGGTTGATGATGCTGATGATGTGTTATGTTGCAGAAGCTGTCGGTCGCTGGTGTCGTTGTTGTTGTTGTTGTTGTGGTGGTGGTGGTGGTGGTGGTCTTTATTGGTGTTGTTGTTTGCTGGTTGGTGTTGCTGTTGCAGTTGGCGTTGCTGCTGCTGTTGTTGTTGGTGGTGGTGTTGTTGTTGTTGTTGGTGGTGGTGGTGGTGGTGTGTGGTGGTGATGGTGGTTGTGGCTATTGTTGTTGTTGTTGTTGCTGCTGTTATTGTTGTTGCTGATGCGTGTTTGTTGGCTTTGCATTGCCATTTGCCGGTGTTGTTGATGTATATTATTTTTTGCTGATTATTAATTATTTATTATTTTAATTTGTTTTTGTTTTTAATTGTTGCTTGTGTCGTTGCTACTGTTTGTGCTGTTGGTTTTGTTGGTGGCTTTGTTGCTGTTGCTGTTGTGGTGGCTGTGGTTGTGCTTGTGGTGGTGGTGGCGGTTGTTGTTGTTGTTGTTGTTGTTGTTCTTGTCATTGTTGTTGTTGTTGCTGTTGTTGTTGTTGTTGTTGTTGTTGTTATTGTTATTGTCGCCGTTGCTATCATCCGAAACCAATGGTGATAATAACAGTTAGTTACAAATGGGTAACACATATCCCGATCCATAGCATCAGCATTACACAGACTCCAATGTTGAATTACCGCCCGGTACAGTAACAGGGAAAATATGGAATCATTTTTGGGTGTCTCGCTAAAGTACTGATGAATATGTTTGAATTCATTGATTTTTTTACTACTCAATTTTTTGGTCCACTGACTGTCATCATGATGACTACTCCAAGCAACAATTGTCAGCATTGGTCGCAAATCCAAGTCTCGTGGTACCAGCATCTTGTCTGGCTGCAGGTCATTGTTGTCGGCGTTCAGTCGTTTTTTTGGCACCCTTAGTTTTATATTAGAGGACCGAGTGAGGTTAGTGGCATAACATCTGAATTATTTTGGAAACCACTGAATTTTGAATTCTGAATCAGATCACTCACTGGAAACTCACACACACAAATAATATTGATTCTAAGTATGTATTATTATAGAATTTAAACCCCGAATGATCAATTTTTCAATCTTTGTCAATGCTTTAAAACATCGAACAAAAGTGAGATACAACAATATCATCATTGCAGCCTAGCGTCAAGTCACCTAAGCCTCTACCCCAGATTTGAAGCATAGATGCGTGAAGTCCTTGCGCTACTGCCTCGGCAAGCATATATGTTTTTATATAATTACTTAACTTACTGTCATCAGTATTCACACATGCCATTACTTTCACCATAATAAATTGTAGAGTAAGATCATATTATGATGATTTACTGGTAGTATTATGAGACGATGAATGGCAAAAGCACTGATGCCAAAAAGCTGGTCGATCGTAACTCCAACCAAGTCACCTGCATCGCCTGCAATGATTTTTTTTCACGTAATGGTACATATGCACAGGGGTCCAAGCAGTGTTTGTCACCAAGATTCCTTAGCTAAACAAACTAAGTTAGTCATGACTCGGGCATGCCATGTGAGTCCAGGTCCAGTCCAATGATCAAAGTATTATATCCGATCCTGGATGCCTGCGCCTGTGCCGAGGAATGGCTAAACAATGTGGCAAAAGTTCCCAGATAAGTTTCGTCTTCACCAGTTCCGCAAGCAGGCATGCCTGTGCTGGCAAAGCCTCAGTTCAGTGCAAACTGAATTTCTGAATCATGCTGACTGATTGACTGACAAACAGACAGTCAGAAGAAAGACTTCAAACGTGTTTTCAAAAGGTCAGTTCAGAGTTCTTGTAAAATTTGAATCATGATACTTAGTAATCTTAGGATTTCAGAATTTCAGAAAATCCACTCGTCATTGCGCAGATTCACTCCCCCAGTTTGTAAATTAAACCTGTTTGTTTTCACCCTTGTCAGACAGTCTGCCCGGCGCGTCTCAAAAAGCTGGCGGCAGGTTGACGCTATGATCTATCATCTACTGTGGCCACAGGCTCGTAGGGTCTATTCTCGGGATTGAACGCATGACTGAGACAGCCAATGACTAGAGTTAAGAGTCTTGAATTCAAAGCATCATATACTTGTGACTGGCGACATGAATATTTTATTAATCAATCAACAAATTCTGAAAGTATTCAGGTCAACACTAACTGACAGGCCGTACTCAGATTGCCGTCCCCATGGCTGCATTTACACTGACTCATATGCCGACCCCTGGACTGTACAATGTGGCAAACATTGGTTTGATTTCAAGCCTTTCTAGCGCTCACGGCGCATCTTCTGCCTGTTCTCCACAGAAACTGACAATTGACATGTCATATCAATCTTGCTAGGCATCATCGGTGGAGCGGATGAAGAAGCCGAAGTTGAAGAATGTGCCACGACGCGAATGATCTCAGAAGCCGCTGGAGACTTGGAAGCATCATCATCAGGTCCCCTACCAAGGCAATGCTTGCGTTTCACCCCCTTGGTTTTCACCGACTTGCCATCTGGGGTAAGCGCATCCATGTTGATGGTAGTCTTGTCTGAGTCCTGACTGCTCAAAACATCTTGAAGCTTATCATTCTCCGTTGATGATGAGGCAACCGATCTTTCAGGGGTAATGAATGGCATACCCTCTGTGACATTATTTGCTGAATCGGCTCTGTACCCAGATTTCCCCAGTGACATACTACTGTTTGCTGACGTAGCCCGCGATGATGGGGAAAGCAACATCCGGGGGCTGTTGACAATCTTGCGACGGGGAGGAGTCGTGAACTTGTCGTCATCAGGCTGAGCTAGTACTTCGTTCTGAACTGGTAATGGGGCATCATAAGGCGCCATCAAACGATTCATCACACTCACTGGAACACGGCTCACCACTGATCCAAGAAGTGGAAAGAAACCATCACCCATTGTCATAGCAGGCCAACGCAATGGTCTGGGGGGCCAAACACCCGGCATGGATTTGGGCGATGGGGTGCGGGCAAACTCTGGGCAATAGCGCCATGCGGGATTGGAAGGAACCCCTCTCTGATGATGTCCAGCATAGGGGTCATCAATGTTGGAGTTCTGAACTGGCATCCCGCTTGGCTGAGGACGACTCTGCTCCGCCATTCTACGAATCACTTCAAGATCGAGGAATGCTTCACTTCAGCTTTTTGGTTTGAATGGTGAGAAAAGGCTATCGCAATACGATTCAGTTCAATTGTTTAAAACATTAATCATTACTTAGTATGTACTAACTGGACTGATGATGTCAAGATTTGATGACATTAAGAGTTAGTAACGTGCTGTTTTCAACTTCATGTTATACTCGTTTAAAGTCATTTGTCAGCAAGTTTGCTTTGATTTGTTTTGGAATTTCTGGCCTTACCTGAGAATTGCCTCATCAATTTAATGGTACAAAAAAACAGCTTCTTACATAACGACGTGTTTTTTTTCCACTGACAGCAAATGACATCGGTCAGTGGAAGGTCTGTAATTGAAGACGGTGGCTGGGCAGCAAACTTCAAACCACGGGAGCTCATCATTAAGATTTCATATAAACATTTAGTAAGTTAGGTAATGATTGTAGTCAGCAGTGTAAAACAATGTAAAACATATTAATTACTATCATGGATTGATTTGGATGTGAGAGCTCGACAGTGACTGGGCCGCTCAGCCATACCAAAAATGTATTGTATGTCATGACATGACATAATAGATGGTTCCCTCACAACACTTTCACCCTTTATACTTGACTCAATGGAAACAATGATTTAACAACACAGGTTAACAACAACCATTGTACAAGTAATGATGAAGACCAGCTAGAAATGAATCATTGGGCGATGGCAAGTTTTTCACGGAACCTGGGTCTCGCATGCCATATCCCCAACCCCCCATCACCGAGCTTGGTGAAAGAAATCAGCCAGTTTGACTCTAGTCTAGGGGGTAGGTGAACTACCAGAAAGCCATGGTCGAGTAAACTTCAAAAACCCTAAGGTTTTCCCTAAATTTTGAAAGCAATCTCTAAAATTTTAGAGGCAGCTCTAAAATTTTAGAGCTCTCTCTAAAATTTTAGAGCAGCCTCTAAAATTTTAGAGGAAGAACATCTGGGATATCCAAAAATAAGCAGTTTACCAGCTAAATCAGGGGTGTGACCCTGCTCAGCTAAAAATTTAGAGGAGGAACCTCTGGGATATCCCAAAATGAGCAGTTTACCAGCTAAATCAAGGGTGTGACCCTGCTCAGCTGAGATTTTAGAGAATGTAAGCTGTGGTGCAACCCCTGGGGTACTCCAAAATGAGCAGTTTACAAGCTAAATCAGGGGTGTGACCCTGCTCAGCTAAAATTTTCGAAAAAATTAGAAAATTTTAAAGTGAACACCCTTTGGGAAAGCCAAAAATCACCATCTCCTACTGTCAGCGTCGGTGAGTCTGTGCTGGGATTCAGGATTGTTGGCCTCAGCAACACTGGCCCGGTGCTCTCACTTCTTGGCCTTGGCGAATATATCAGGCTTCTTGGGAACCGAAGGGGTCGGAGCTGATGGCTTGGCCGGTGTCGAAGCTGGCTTGGCCGACGCAGACGCTTCTTTGCTACCTAAGTAGGGGAAACCGACTATTACAATTAATGGGTGCATTGATCCCCCCAAAAAACGATCAACTTTAATAAACACAACACATCACACCTACCGAACGCTAAGTTGACGTAGTATTGTTTTGCAATCCCACTGCCTGTCTCTTCATCAGGCTTGGGAATGGTATCCTCTGACAACTTCTGCTTTTTGGAATCGGGTGCTTCTGCTGATGCCGCTTCACCACCAGCTCCTAGTGTCAGTGTGACATAATAATAATAATGTCAAATAAATTTCATATATTATGTCACCCGTTCCAAGTAATATTTAAAAATAATCCCAAGGCATGATCTTAATAATAGTTAGATTTTTGGAATATACGCCATCAACCACTGGTTACTGTCAGTTATAGAATCCTCCACCAATCGCTCGCCGGTCCTGAACTCTCCAGGGGTCGCTTGTTATCACCATCACCCTCCTGTGGTCCTGACGGGTAGCTTGAGCAGCACGTGAGTTTCAGGGGGGTGTGCGTTTGAACTGAACTAATCAACATCAATGTAAGTCAATCAAGTAAGAATCATAAAAAATCATCAAATATTCAACATTATCCATTATTATAAGACTACCCCCTAAATAAAAAATGGGTAACTTTACACATTTCAGTCCTTTCGTAGTAGTATCATCAGGAGGAACAGTCTGATTGGCAGTGGTACCCTGTGCCTCCACTACCTTAAACTGGGGAACTTCGCCCATCATGGTAACCGTCAAGTACCCACGGCCGCAATCTGCGCATTCTGCGCGCTCATGACCACATTTGCAGACAGGGACACGCTTGGATGCCACTGTGATCTCTTTGAACTTCGGTGTCTCACCAACCTTAACAACTTGCAAATACCCCCTGTTGCACGTGGGGCATGATTCCCTTTCTTCCCCACAGTCGCACACCGGTACTTTCTTCTTGATCTCGTTGTCACTGCCACCCTCCCCAGACGGCCCATCAGCAATTGCTGCCTGGGGAGCCTTGGAACCTCACTAGCCCACAGTGACGGTGACAACATAATAATTGTAGTACATGTTTTTCTTAAGGTAATATTATTTTTATTATTTACATGGTCAATGGTTCAGGGTTTGATAATAAATAAGTATATAGTTAGTTGATTGATAAGTTGATTTTTAATTGCATTTGAAAAAATAATATGCCACATAACTCGCTGTCGTAGAATCTTCTGGAACCACATCGCCAGGCTTCACAAACTTGGGGGGTCGGCCAGCTGCAACTTCTTCATTAAAGCCATGTTTACAATCTGGACATTCCCCACGAGTCTTGAGACAATGGCAAACAGCGATCTGAGAGGCTTCAGGCGCCAACTCACCTAAGTGATGGTAAGCAAACAGAACAACCATGATTCTTGAAAGTGTATCCAATCATGATTATTAATCATTTAATTTTTTAAATTTATTTATTATAATTGGGACGACTAAATATATACATTATTATTATCAATGATTAAATGGAAACAAATTAAACATCTGAACTGACTCAGTTTAATCCCCAGGTGCCCGTCTTTGGCATAACTCCAGCCAAAGGCATGCGGTTGCCGCTTTCACTGGCTGCGGAAGATTTACTGGCCTTGGTGTCCTCCTCAGTCACTTCAAGGCTCGGCAGGGCTGCAGGCAAATTAGTTGGATTAG